TAAAGGCTATACTTGGTGTTGACTACGCTGATACTTTTTCTTTGGTGGTTAAGAGATCTTTCGTTCAGGTTTTTATTTCTCTTGCTGCTAATCTTTATTGACCCTTATTTCAATTAGATGTGAAGAATGCTTTACTATGAGGTGATTTACTAGAAGAAGGATTATATGGAGTAACCACCTGGATTTGTTACTCTGGGGGAGTATCAAGGAAGTGTGAGTAAGTTGTAGAAAACATTATATGGGGCTATAACAATCTCTATCGGCATGGTTTGAGAAGTTCTCAGATGAGGTGTTGGAATTTGGTCTCCATAGATGTTACACAGATCATTCAGTATTTTACTTGCATACTAATGTTGATAATATCCTCCTTGTTGTTTATGTTAATGATATTATGATTATCGGTGATGACTCTGTTGGTATTGCCATGTTGAAACAATTTCTACACCACCGATTTCACACTAAAGATCTAGGCAAACGTCGATATTTCCTTGACATCAAAGTTGCTAGAACAAAATAGGGCATTAGCTTGCCCCAAAAAAAATATATGTTTGACCTTATGGAGGAAACTAGTTTTCTAGGTGGTCGACCAATTGATGTCCCTATGGATCCAAACCATAAACTCTCTGTGGATGAAGGTGAATGTGTCTTGGATCTTGGACGGTATCATTGATTAGTTAAGAAGTTAAATTATCTCACTACTACCCGATAAGATATATCTTGTGCAATGAGTGTAGTAAGTCAATTTATGAAATCCCCTCGAGTACCACATTGAGATGTTATTAGTCGTATGATCAAAATATCTCAAGCAAGCTCCCAGACTTGGATTGTAATATAAATATCATGGACATATTAGGTTGGAAGGGTTCACAGATGATGAATGGGGAGGCTCTTCCTCAGATAGATAATCTACTACACAAACAGACAATCTACTGCAGACTATTGTATCTTTTTGGGAGGTAATTTGGTTATATAGAAGAGTAAGAAGTAGACAATGGTGGCACGGTCTAGTGGAGAAGCCGAGTACTGGGTAATGCCTCCTGTAGTGAGTCAACATGTTTGCACCACTTCCTTAAGGAAATTGGGTTTCCAGTCAAAGCCTCAATTATTTTCCGATAATCAAGCTACTGTTCATATCACTTTTAATCCTGTGTTTCACAAGCAAACAAAAAAAATTAAAGTTGATTGTCAATGTGTTCAAGAAAAAGTGTTTCACAAGCAAACAAAAAAAATTAAAGTTGATTGTCAATGTGTTCAAGAAAAAGTGTTGCGCGGAGACATTATCACACCCTTTGTCAAATATGAGAATCAAGTTGATAATACGTGTTCCAAGCTAAAATTGTACAATATATATTCACCAGCTTGAGGGAGAGTGTTACAATATATAGAGTGGCATTTATATAATAAATATATCCTAAGAGGGGTATATTAGTCTTTTAGTAACATTTATATACATACTATAACGCACGGATATTTCAAAAGGGTCAAAGGATCAGTATCGGATACTTCTCGGACATGAATACGCCTCCAATAAAGCCGGATATGCGTCAAATACAGCTGGAAGGTATCTTAGAAGTAAAGGAAAAATTGAATTTCAGATACATTAGGATATGTCAGGATATGCACGGGATACGCATGAGACTACTGCCAGTATTACTTGAATTTTTAAAAAAGAACAGTGACACTAGAGAAAATATGTTGGGCCCTTATTTGAAAAAAAAAAAGAAGGAAAAACTAACTTTCTATCCTTATTCGACAAAACCGCCCCTCCACTCAATTGAATGCGATTGACACTGCCCCCTCTCTCTCTCTCTCTCTCCTCCAACGGTCTCTCTTGATGCCGACAATGTCTCTCCTCCCTCCTGATACTGTGAAGTGTAGATTTGACGATCAACGAATGTCTCCTCTCTGCTGTCCAACGTAACTCTCCCCTCTCTCTCTTTTTTTCCTTTTACCGGTGATTAGAAATCTTTTCTGCAATAGGCTTTGCAATTAGTTTTTTTTTTTTTTGAGCAATCGGGAGAACAAATTACACATATAGCTGATCAACATCACTGGTAAATTTACACAATAATTTACAGAGGCAGTTGGAACCATTTGAACCGCTGCATTTGTACTGTGAAGTGCTGCATTAGAGGTGTGTTACTGCAACTTTACTGCTGCTGCTGCATTTGAGGTGTGTTACTGCTACTTTACTGCTGTTGTTGCCTACTGGATACATTAAATATATCTTTGATAGATGTGTGATTCACTTTATAAATCATAATTATTAGATACATTTTAATAATAAATTTTTAAAAAAATATATTTTATGAATGAATCCTAGTTGCACCCATATCCTATTTTTTTAGGTTTTGCCATATCGCCAGATCCGTATCCGTGCTTTATAACATACATATATATATGAGGTGAAAGGGAAGGTAGGGTATCTTCTTCTCTTTCTCATTCTCATATCTTCCTCTCTCTCTCCCTAAACGTTAACAAGAGGCAAATGGCACATGCTGGCCTCCAATAGTCATGATTGTATGTTAAGAGCCCAACAGTGTCTGTTTTCTCTGGCACTTGCTGAACATTAAAAACAAACAATCGACTGCCATGAACCTAAATCAAATAACACGAAATTGTCAACAATTTCATGGACTTTTAGGCCCAATCATAGAGCTTGTCTTTGTATTAAACATAGTTTAGACTATCCATTCTATGGAGACCCCAATACAATTTAATACCACATAGGGAAAGGCCTCACAATGGGATGTTAAAATCCAGGAAAACCATTCATCCAGAAATTATGTTTCTGTTTTGCCCAGTCCAAAAGAAGTGTGGAAGTTTGCATTGTCAGTTTATACAAGGGCTTTAGGAAGCAGTACATTGACAGCAACCTTGGCATAAAGGCCTGAACTGTTACTGCCTAGCATTTTATACTATGACATAGCTGGTTCATGATGCCATTAAAATACGGAAGGTTATTTCTTCAGCTAGCATGGCAAAGATCACAGCAACTGCAAAACAAAAAACATTTCTAATCCAACAAGACTTCATATTTAATGCTTTACCCTCTCCCTAGTAAGCTACATCCAAGGATCAAAATTTCGTTTCGAAGTACCGTTTCGGTCAACTCAAAATTGAAACGTTTCGGAAACGCAATGGAAACGCAGAAAAAATATGAAAACGCATAGAAACACAAATGCAATCCATTAATTTATAAAGATATGCTAAATAATTTATTAATTCAACATATTTATTAGGTTAACATCAATTTATACAAGATAAAATTAAATTTGAGGGAAAAAAAGGCTTGACTTGAGGCGAAAGTCACTTAAATTAGTTTCAAACACTTAATTTTTATGAAATAAACACATTTTTACATAATATTAAGGTCTTATAATACACATGAAATGCTAATGACTACATACTTACATGGTTACATCCATTCCCCTGTGGAGTGTCGAGCAGGCTCATACATCGGTGTAGGCTCTGGGTAGCTACTTAGAAACTCCATATGTGACATAAATATGATGACAATAGTTACTCCAAATCATATTATTACGGTAATATAATCCAATTAATAATACTATTTTATTATAATACTAATAATGAAGGGTATCAAATTAATTAATGATACTTATGTATACTTAAAAATTAAATGTAATTGCAGTGGGTATTAAATGTAATTACAGTAGGTATTAAATATAATTACATTAGGGTATTAAATGTAATTGTTAATACTTATAACAAAAAAAAAAAGCAAAAAACTTGCACAGCAGTGAGGTATTAAATATAATTACAGTATGTATTAAATATAATTATAATGGGTATTAAATATAATTATAGTAGGGTATTAAGTGTAATTATTTATTCTTATAACAAAAAAATTATAAAAGACAGAAGAGCAGTGGAAATTAAATGTAATTATAGTGGGATATTAAATATAATTATAGTGAGTATTAAATGTATTACAGTGAGTATTAAATGTAATTATAATGGGGTATTAAATGTAATTATTCATAATGAACCGAATATATCACTGTTTTGTCGAAACGGTACTGTTTCGATCGAAACGGTTCGAAACAATGTCGTTTCGACCGAAACGGTCCGAAACAGTACCGTTTCGACCGAAACACTGGAATTTTTGTGATTCAACTACTGTTTCGTTTCGGAGTGTTGAAATTCCGAAACGTTTCGGACGTTTCGGACGGTGTCGACACGACATTTTGATCCTTGGCTACATCACAGCAAACACTGTTGCCAAACCTGATTCACTTGCTCTAAGTGTTTCTGTTGCAGTACAACTAAATGCGTTGAAGGACAACAGAGTTTTGGAATGATGCCTTCAAAATATCACATTACGATATAGGTACCTAGTATGGATGGAAATTCAGGACAATCCAAGGAAGCAAATAAGAATCGTGAACTCAACAATTTTCAGCTTAGTGCAGCCCAATATATGCAATTTTTAATGGTAGATCAGTCATACAAAAAACTACTACTTCCTGAGTCACAAGTGATGAATACATCACCTATTAACCTATAGACCTTTGGGCGTTGTGATCATAGTCATACATCACCACAACATCTCATCACTCTCTGAGGTGGATTTTAAACACCTACAAATATCCTCTTTGTGGGGACAGGATCCAAGAAGCATGTTTTTAAAAACAATAATTAGAACAATGGATGAACTGCATGTCTTTGTCTTAAATCAATATTCCTCATTATAAGATGGGGCCATACAAAAGGTGGATGGGTGGATTTTTACATTGCAGCCTTACATTCCAGAAACCATCCTTGGTAAGTTTCCTGATAATATTTTAATTTCATGGTTCCGGAATGAATGACTGCACCATAAATTGCAAATAATCCAAATGTTATCAAAACTTCTAAATAAATCTAGTATGGTACCACAAGCCATTCTTTCTTCATGAAACATCCATTGGTTTCCCCTGTCTCCCTCTGAAATACATACAAATCTCTTCAGTATCATTAAGTAATCTCAGTATTCTAGCTTACTTCCTATCACTGCCACTGGCTTCAGACATTGCCGTATCCTATCCAAATCATATGTGAAGTAATATTTGACATTAAGGTCCCAACTGAGTTTCCTACTTCCTGAAACAAAGATTTGTTAAGGCTACTAAATAATGGATTCACTTCCAGTGGTGCACAACACATAAGCAGCATAGAGTTTAACCCAGTTGCATTAACAATGAATTTGGTACTCAAAACAAAGCAGAAAAAAATGAGGATCTGGCATCTAATTCCAGACACATACCTACAAAAGCTTGCAACCAATTCCTAAAATTGTTTCTCAATCTTAAAGCAAAAATCAAGCAATTTATAATCATTTTGATGCCAAAATCAAAGTTATGAAACTGTATCCCACTGTGACAATAGATACTTTTAAAGGTATTAACCTCACAACAGTAGTTATACTCAACCAAACGAACAGAAATGGCCTTCAAGTGAAGACATGAGGCCCCCACTATAGCCAACAAATTCCTGTTACAAGAAAGAATTCTTGACTTACTTCTGGAAATAAATTGGGACATTCAGAAATATGTCGAGCAAGATTAATAGCAGCAGGTGAAGTGGAAGCCTCCCCCATGGAGATGTTGTTGAAATAGAAAGCTGCCAAATTATCAACCGCAGATGCACACTGACATGGAAAATTAGAATATATAAAATTCAATGACTATGAGCACAGGTATTTCGTCTAAAACTGATGCAGTATTTGAATTTGGACAGGCATTGACCAACTTATGTATTTGTGCAGATCATAATTATAAACAGCCAGGACATCACTCTGGCAATGGAAGCCACCAGTTCAACAAAAAGGTCGGTGAGCAGGAAGATCATAAAAATATTATCAATCCTGAAAACATCATTATTCAAAAGAATTATTGTATAAAAAAAGATGCAAGGAATTTTTAAAGGTTATAGCATGTCGTACTGTGGTTCTAGCTGGTATTAGCACTTCAAAAATTAACAATGCAGGAAAAACAAAAATGTACTAAAGAGAAAGTTTTTGCACATCATAAATGCATCAGTCAACATTTATTCAAGGATGCTTTACGAAAGCATAAAAATCCACTTGAGGTAGATGTGCATGCATTTCTCTGTGTATGCTTACAGAAGAACCCACATAAGCACACAGTGGAATGACACACTACTATTTACTAATAGTCACAGCCTACTTGTTAGTTGTAACAACATATTTTGAAGGACCCCTTGGTCACACCATGCATGCATGGTCAGATCATGGCTTCTCTCTCTGATCTCTGGGCTTAGGTGTTTTACAGTCCTTTAAAATTACTTAACCATTGAATTAAATGGATCCCCTAGTCTCCTTCAACAAAACCAGGTTGACTTAATCAAACATAACCCAGGACCAGTTCTGTGTTTATCATCATAGTTTTGAATAAACCAACCAACACATGCAAGGGAACTGTCAAACATTTACAGGTTCAAACACCCAGACCACCCCATGTTTAATAACTAATTAGCTGCGATCAAACATGATGTTATAATTATCTCTGTCTGTAGGACTGTAATAGCCATTGATGAAACTCAAACTTATGAGCAGAGAATGCAGGCAGCCAAGAAGTGTTCAATTTAATGCAACTAAATTGTTATCATCACTCTTTAAATCACATGTATCATACTCACCTGTGATGAGATGCTTGCATCCAGACCTTTCAGACCAGATTCAAGTGAACCAACTATATGCGTGAAGGTGTTTGTATCCAGATTCAACATAAAAAGAATATGACTGTTGAATAGAACCTCCAGAAATCCGAAATATGCTCTTGTCAGCTGGAAAAAAAAAATTATGCACAATTACCTCATTGATTAAATACAAAATGAGTAACAAAAGCTATTCCCAGAACATTAACTTATACTACAATTGTCCCCCTGGTAAATGACAATGGAGAAAAAGCATATAATTGATTGGTCACTCCATCTATCTAGTCAAAGAAGAAAAGTTGGTAAGTTCGAGTCTTATGAAATTTTCCATTCAGATCCTCTTTGCATCTCTCAATCGATTACTTAAGCTATTTTTTATCGAAAGGAATTGGTACCCCTTCGTTACCAAAAAGTCTCAATTATTGTGCAGACATCAATCCTAGGAAGGATAAAACCAGTTCAGCAACTAACTCTAAGGATGACTGGAAGTATTGATAGATACTGTGCATTTGTGCTTCCAATAACCATTTTATGAACTTCCAATTTACAGCAAATCATGATACACTACATCCAGCTGTCTTGAGTCTCTTGACATATTTCTAATGTCTTGGATCCTTCCAGCCATTGAGAGAGGTTCTATATGGCTAGTCCACCAAGGATTCTGGTCCAAATGCAGATTTCATTCAATATTGTTTGAAGAAGATGACAGGAGAGAAATGCAACAGTGCTATATGGTTTTAACTAAGATTTTCAGGTCAGCTCCACTCAACTGGGAGGCTGGAGCCCAGCTATTGATTCATATAAATATATATATATATATATATATATATATATATAGAGAGAGAGAGAGAGAGAGACACACACACACACACACATAAAAGGCAGCTCAGCACCCCAAAACGAATACACACTACCCTCCCCTTTCCCCCCCCCCCCCCTCCCCTCCCCCTCCTCCAACAAAAAAAAAAAAAAAATCAAAAATGGTCATGTTTCCTAAGCACTGACAAAAAAAGAAATCCCAACAAACTTGAGATATATATTGACAAATCAACATGCTCCAGCCAAATGTTCCACTTAACTTCCAAGGGTGCAACCACCCATGCCTGTAAGCACCTCCTACTACAGCAACATTTTGTTTTTCGACAAAGCTAGAGATCTAGGCATCACCAGATATACTCGCAGAAAAAACAAAACAGTTATTGGATTGGGTGGCTACCAAAAATCAATTCAAAGAGGTGATAAATGATAGTTGTTTGCAGTAAAGATCAAAATTGTGTTGTTTTTTTCCCAATTGAAATAACTAAAATATTTCTATTTCCATAGAAACCGAAATGAATTGGTGACTAAATAACAAAATGTCAATGCCTCAAGATTTTTATTGGTGAATGAATGTCATGAATTCACTGGGGACAGGTTCCGTGCACGATACTGCCTATAAGTGGTTGGAGAAGGAGAAATGGTAGTCAGCGAGCTAGCTTAGAAAGAAGTACTAAAAAACATTAGCCCTCAAGTGAGCAAAGGTGACTATGACACTTTGAAGACTAATAGAACTAATGCGAGGAAAGGTTCGGATTCGCTAACCTTTGGGCTTAGTTAAGACTTCTTCCCTCTTGGCTTACTAGCCGGAATGTTTTGAGATGTTTCGACATTTGTTTCAAAATGTTTCAGAACAAATTTCCAAATTTTTTGTGTTTCCATTCGGTTTTCAAAATGTTTCCAAAATATTACTGAAACGTTTCCTTAGTAGATGCAAACTATGCAACAAAACAAAATTTTAATCCTTGCCAGTAATAGTTAGATGCAAACAAATACTTATACTATATTCATAAACGAACAGTGGTGCCTAATTGCTAGTAATCCCTTTACAAGCTTTTATTTTTGAGATCTGGTTGAACTTCAAGTACCACTAAACTTGATCGAACCTTTAAAAGCTCAATAACTTTGAAAATAAGCAACAATTATACAAAAATGAAACCATATACTTAATTCCTAGTACATGTTAATGAGAAACTTTTACCTAAATACATGTCTAGTAATCAAATACATAGTTGTCAAATCGCGATTCATATCGTGAATTGAGAATCGTGAATCGTATCGAACCGTGAATCATAAGATTCAACACAAAATTTCAGCAAAAATAAAAAATAAGATTTACATATTTAAAATAGGCAAAAAAATATTGAAAATTGAATATTATTGTACTCTAAAAATAATCAATTGACATAATCATGTCATCTAAATGGAAAGACGCTAGTCTTTTGTTTCATTTTCATCTTTTACTTAACTATTTGCAAATTCAACAACTTGAAGAAAAAAAAATTATTAAATAATCACGACTATTCAAGAACCAAAACAGTGACACCCAACACAGATTGAGTTACAAACATGAATGAAAAAAGAACAAATAAAAAAATTAATTGGGAGAAAATATAAAAGCCAACATTTTAAAACAAAAAATTAGAACTAAACAACTATTCATGAAAGAATTGAAAGAAAAAATAAAAGTTTATACTAAAATATGGTGATAGGAGATAGAAAAATCCAATAAAAAAAATAAAAAATAAAAAAGACATGCTAGTGCTTGCTTACTGTTAAGAAGCAAAAAAAAAAAGAGGAGCAAGAGCTTTAGCCATGACCCTTAGTTACAGACAACCCGAGGCGAGCTTTAAACGACACGAGAGACAGAACGAACAAAGAGGCTGAATTTTTATTAGGGTGTGGGTTCCTCGGCAAACAAAACTAAGTCGTTTTACAATTTAGCAATTTTATCCATCTCTGAATGTACACCCAATGGATTATTTGATCCATATTGATGCAATGCGGCCAGACAATTTAAAAAAGAGATTGAATTGTGCACGAATCGAATCGTACGATTAAGATGCGATTCAACTCTAAAAACGATTCTCATATAAAAGACGAATCGTTTTACGCTTGTATCGAATGGAATCGCGAATCGTACGATTTTGATAACTATGATCAAATATCAAAATTTTGTTTCGATGAATTCTTTGATCACTTAAATAATGGAAATGCTTTGATAATACTGAAAAATTGATCAAAACGCACTGGAGCATTTCAAAACACCTCATAACATAAAATTTTGATATTTAATCACTGATTCGTTTTCGATTTTTATAGCAACAAAAACATTTTTTTATTGTTCCAAATGAAATTTTGATCCTTACTAGTCATATCTATTATAACATCCAGGACTTAACCTTGTGGTCAAAAAATGATTTCTAAAAGACTTGGGGAGGCTATTGTAATTAAGGGGATAGAGAAGAAAAACCAGTAGGATAAAAGTCAAGCACTCTTCCTTGATGTTCCATATTGAACAAAGCATTAATAGGCATGTATGCCTCCCATCACTCCGCTCAATAGGCTTTCAATTCCGGCAAAAAATTCCAAAGGCTGACTATCACCTTGTTGTATAAGGTTGCTTAGTCTTGCTGCATATAAAGTGAGTTATGGGTGCATATTATGGTAAGAAACCTGTGCGTTTGCTGAATTTTAGCAAGGTTGATATTGGTTAACAATAGAAGTTGAATAAGGGGAATTAAATCTAAGCTCGTAAAGTCACTGATAAAACTTTCACACAAAACGCCGTCCAAATCACAATGTTTGAAAAAGTTGAGTTCTAACTGACCAACCCTTCATCTATCCCTTCATCCAAGTGGTTCTAGATCTACATTATTTATGTTTTGGTCAATCAATGATCTATCCAGACCATATGATTCAAGGTCACCGGTCAACCATCAACTTGGAAGGCACTGACACATCGATTGTGGTTATAGAGTGAAATGATATTATGTGATACACAAGAAAGTCTACATAGGATAAGTTGGATGTTGCATGAGATTTAGGCATATCTCACTATCGCGACATTAAGCAACAGACTGTGATTCAACGATGATGACTCCCGTGCACCCCAAGTCAACCACGAATCGAGTGAGACTTGAGACTTACACAAAACACGTATCGGTCTCGGAACTCAGAATGGAAGGTGTAACTCCCAATACAAGTTGGTCAAGTACTATCATTATCAATTGATGCTCAGAACAATGTTCTGAATCATCCAAAATGTACTCATACAAAAATCCAAAATCACTCGTCCTCTTTTCAACCTGAGCCTTACTTGTCTATGTTTTTTAATGGGCCAACAAATCACCTAATCCGTCTAGTCCTGCGTCTGTTAGTCCAAAAGTTCGGTTTCCTAGCTAAAATTTTCTTTAGATGGTGTAATCACACATCCCTTCGGGCATTTTTCGTTCCTACGTGAGCATTAAAGCTCAGTGCTTGCATGTATTGCCATGCCTTGTATTTTGCCTAGAAGAGTCTATCCATGCTCCACCTAAGAGCTAAATTGAAGGTATGACTTGGTATTTTAGAGTTGAGTGTACTTATTTACAAAATCAGCAAACACAATGTAACTATTTTATTTTACCTTTATGATATATTGAAAAAGATTTTGATGCAAGAGACTTATGAAACATCATTGAGTGTGACATTGATGTTTTGTTATGGATCAACTTTGTTTTCTAAAAAATATGATATAATCCGATGAAAGTGTTCTAAACAAGTGTATAATCAACTGTTACCACCCCAGTTCACAAGTAAGGCTATAAGCGAGCAAGACATCGTTGTTTCAACCAAGGTATTTTAGAAGCTTCGCCTTCTTTTTCATGACCTTTAGTAATTTTTACAATAAGAAAAATGGAGCGAGAAGGTTGGAGCAAATCTTTTCGACCATGGATATAAAGGAAGAAGAATAGGGTGAGCCTTAGCACAGCAATAGGGTTGCTCCAATGTGACCTGAGCGTCTAGAATTTGAGTTGTTAAAACATTCTCTACGAGTCAATTTAACAAAGTCTTTTCCTCCTTTTCATCTTAATAATCACTTTTTTCTTGTTTTCTAAGACGTTCAAATGAATTGGATGTAAACATCTTCTCTTTGGCTCTCTGAATGTCGTCATCAACCCTCTCCCTACATCATGATATTTTTTTATGCAAGTGAAAGTAGGGGGTCCATTGCTCCTCCCGTCTTTTCTGGCAAATGCTATATTCAACTATGC